AAAAATATTTTTTCTAGTTAAAAAAGTTTTTCCTTCAATTTCAGCTTCGAGGTATACTTGACATATAAAATTGTAAGATATTTAAACTACATTGAGATGATTCCATATATGAAGACATTTTGAAAGGATTCCCATCATCTAGGTAATTAATACATCCATCGTCTCACATATTTATCCTTTTGTGTGTGTGTGTGTGATAATATTTAAGTTCTACTCTCTTAGCAAATTTTAATTGTATAATAGTGTTATCAACTACAGTCACTATGTGTTACACTAGATCCTCAGACCTTATTCATCTTATAGGTGAATGTATGTACCTTTACCAACCTCTCCCTATTTCTCCCACCCTCCAGCCCCTGGCCACTTTTCTACTCTCTGTTTCTCTGAGTTCGACTTTTCTTTTTTTTTTAAGATTTCACTTATAAGTTAAACCATGCAGTATTTGTCTTTCTCTGTCTGGTTGATTTCACTTAGCATAATGCCCTCAAGGTCCATCCATTTGTCACAAATGGCAGGATGTTTTTCCTTTTCATAGTTGAATGATATTCTATTGTGTATATATATATATATGTGTATATATATATATATATGTACACACCACATCTTTATCCATTCATCCATTTATGGACACTTAGGTTGTTTTCACATCTTGGCTATCGTGAACAATGCTGCAATCAACATGGGAGTGCAGATATCTCTTTGAGATCTTGTTTTCATTTCCTTCAGATGTATATCCAGAAGTGGGATTGTTGGATTATATAGTAGTTCTATTTTTAATTTTTTGAGGAAACTCCATACTGTTTTCTAAAGTAGCTGCACCAATTTACATTCCCACCAACAGTGCACTAGGGTTCCTTTTTCTCCACATCCTCGACAACACTTCTCTCTTATCTTTTTGAGCATAACCATTCCAACAGGTGTGAGGTGATATCTCATTGTAGTTTTGCTTTGCATTTTCCTAATGACTAGTGATATTGAGCACTTTTTCATGTATCTGTTGGCCATTTGTATGTCGTCTCAGAAAAACGTCTTTTCAGATCCTGTGCCCATTTTTCAGTTGGATTGCTTGTTCTTTTGTTATCGAGTTGTATGAGTTCTTTAGATGTCTTAGCTATTACCCTCTTATCATGTATATGATTTGCAAATATTTTTTCCCATTCCTTAAGCTGTCTTTTCATTTTATTGATGATTTCCTTTGCTGTGCAGAAGCTTTTTAGTTTGATGTATTTCATTTATTTATTTTTACTTTTGCTGCATTTGCTTTTCATGCAAATCCAAAAGATCACTGCCAAGACCAATGTCAAGGAGCTTACCCCCTATGTTTTCTTCTAGGAGTTTTGTGGTTTCAGGTCTTAAAAAGTCTTTTTAAATTGAATATTTTAAATGTTTAATGTTACACAGAGTCAATAGATAGTATTTATTGTTTGATTCTTAGCATTTTTAAAAGCGAAAAATAGTATCAATATATATTTTTATAATTTTTGGATATCTAACCGTAGAATATTTTTCAGATTGCTAAAGAAGTAGCTATAATTTCTATATTGCTAGTAAGAAATAAAAAGCAAAAACATAGTATACCTAGCATATGGAAGAATAAAAGGAAAAAATAAGGAAACAAAAAGAATGCAATGAACAACATAACAGAAGTAAAACTAAGTACCAGGTGTGACAATTAAATATTGTAATAGACAAAATTTGAGATAAAGTAAAATTAAATCCAATTTTTTACTGTTAATGAATATTTAATCTCAAACAGAACACAGAAAATTTTTAAAAATATAGGTACAACCAAACACCATGTAAACGCAATCAATAAGGAAAGCAGAAATGCAATATTCATATCATATTAAAATGAAATTCAAAGAAAAATTATCACCTATGACAGTTTTAAAAATCGAATCTAAACATTACAAGGATGTAATAAGTATGAAACACAGCATTAAACTCTACAAATTGCAACTGTTTTAAAAATGAAAGCAATTCACAGCAACTCAGTCATAATTGGGAGATTTTAACGTACTATTAGTCTCAAGTCTTGAATCATACATTAATATTTACATATGTTAATGTGCCTCTAATGCCTAACCCATAGTGGGTCTTCATTAAATATGGGTTTTTTGATCTCTTTTTTTCATTCTTTTTTCTTATAGTGACTGAGATTTCATGGCTTCAACAGTACATGGCATTGATCTTCATCACAACCATTCAGGTCGTCCCTGGATCTACTGGTTACAGAGCTGACTAAAAATGTTATCATTCTTGACAACGTAAAAGTAAAGTACAGCTAACAGAAAGAGGGAGCTGGAGAATTTGGAGACATGGAGGGACAGGAGAGAGCTCTAAGATCTTAATTTTGCCAAGTGGGGAAACATATGATCCTGTTAATGTTTGTTGAACAGGAAATGGAGGTATTGATGTGACACTTGAGGAACTCAGAACAGTGACCTTATTATGTACAGACAGGGTACATAACATAAGTGACATTAGTCCTAATCTATGCGAGTAGAGAGTCAATAGACATTGCCCAAAGGTAATAAGCCAAGGAAGTGGTATATGCATATTATTGAACGGTACGGAAGTGACTATCAGAAAATCAACAAACCAAACTGGTTAGAAGTAATTGCCTTTGAGGAATAGAAGTGAGGGTGGGGTGGGAGGTCTGTTACTTCTCATTTTAAATCATTTTGTACCATGTGATTTTTTTTTAACCATATGCATGTTTTAGTATGTTAAAACTTTTCTAATGTAGATGTTAATTGAATTTTCATGACGTTAGTGGAAGACAGCAATTTAGGACATAGATTAATACAGGGATAAGGTGGCTGTTTGAATCTGATAAATCTCAGTGTAAATCTTGGCTTTACCAACTACTAGAACTCGTTGGTTTTGGACAAGTCACTAAAACTCTCTAAGCTTCAGTTTCTTCCTCTGAAAATATCGGTAATTATACCTGACACTTAAGGTTACTTTGATCTTTGAAATTGAGATAATGTGTCTAAAGCACTCAACACATTAATTAGAGTTCTTAATATTAATTGGCATATTTAATAGTTGTTATAAAGTGCTTAATATTCACTGTTATAGTTAACAGTGTTTACGAAAATTATAAAACTTCTTATTCTCAAGTATATGGTACAGTCAATTTATCCTTCAATCTTCTTTTACGTGTGAGAGTATAAATATGTAATGTTTAAGTGGAGATTCTTAAATGCTAATGGTCACAAAAGTTCTTCCAACTGTCTTTAAAAGTTTCAGATTGTTTTCATTACCTGCTTTAGAGGCATCATGGCGTATTGGAAGAATCCAGCACTAGGTTGACTGCCTTTACCTCGATCAAGTCATTTAATCCAATTTAAGTCACTCCATTTATAAAGTCATATTGTTGGAGTGTCACCTGTCTGAAGGTTATAGTGAATCAGATGTTCATTTGAGGTGCTGGTCACCTCTAGGGGCCAGGACTACAGAATAAGTGAATAAAGTGGTCCACTGGATGTGGAGCAATTGTGGGACCCCAGACATCAGTCAAGGCCTTCCCTCTAATATTTGGTCCTGTGGCTGAGGGAATTTTTTTGACCTCTGAAATGGGGTTTGGTTTGTTAAAAAATTAATCATGTGCTTTCTGAGGCATAAAAAGCCTGCTTACTTCTGTCAGATGAATTTACTCATCTAAAATATCAAGGTTCCTTTTAATAAATTCAATTTCCCACTAAATGGTACCCTCATTTGCCATACAACTGATTTTAGTATATATAATTCCACTGTCGAGTTAATGGTTATGCATAAAAATACTCTTCCTTTTCACTGACATTCAGTACTTTTTATGAAAAAAATCATTTAATCATCCTCTAAACCAATTTTTATTTTCCAAGTTATTCATGAGTCAATTGGACAGGATTCTGTTTAGAAATTTACTCGCAAAGAAGTTATTTTTCAGGCTATTGCTACAAAAAGCTTTGAAAAGGGAAGAGGATGTGGGAGACAGGATGAGGAACTTGAATTTTAATTACATCACTACAAAGAAAACTCTTGACAAGTGTACTCACTCACCCGTTCAGTAAATATTTGTTATGGGTAAGATTGATCTTGAGATCACAAAAAGGATTCCTGCTCACGAGTTCGTAAGGCAGCAGCAGGTCTGAAATAGGCCTGCTGGAAAGAAAATATGCCTATTTTCCTTTTAAAAAAGAGTAAAATATAAAATAATCTTGTATCACCAATTCAAATAAAACAACAAAATTGATATGTATTTAAAAGGTATTTTCTCTGCTCTCCATCCAAACTTTCCATCTCCAGTTTTTTCCATTCATATTCTCAGGACTGCTATATAAGGGGAAATGAAGACTGTAAACCATCCTGTTTGCACTATTTGATTCTTCCGCTGTGTGAGTAAGTCTGCTGCATTTCGAGCTGGATCTTTTTGTTGGACTTAGGCTTCAAGAAACACCTCATAAAGACTCCTTGTTGGGAGCACCCTGTTTGTTCTGCTTATTCGAAAGGCTGCTAAGAATTGTGGTACAATTCCAAGACTCCACTGGGGTGGACGATATGTTAAGTCTGCTTTTCTTGGGAGGGCCAGGCCCCTCTTGTGCAACTGTGGTGCAGGAGAAAACCGTAGTACATAATAGAGCTGAAGATCAAAGATGGTAGATTGCTGACCCTACTATATCTAGTCAGAGGAGCACCAGGAAGCCAGTGAGAAGGTAATGCCTGGTTTGACTTCTTTAGTTGCAGAGAAACAGAGAGCTATCTGGAAGGCTGTACCAGTGGCAGCCCCTGCCCAGAAGCCCTTAGGCTCTGTGGTGGGTCACCAAAAGGAACCACACCATCACTCAAGCCATGACTCTGCATTCCTTTATAGCACCCGAGTTTATCGTAGACCTTCAGAAATTCAACTTTCAAATATATTTTAGGACCACATCATGTGCATAAGTCTGGTGCTGCTTGCACACATTAACATACGGACAAGTATTCTATTTAACAATATTTTTTAATCCATTGAATTCACGGAAGGACAATAAAGCATGTTAACAGTAATTTTAGTACTTTACAACCATGGTCACTTAAAATGTCATACATAAAGTACATGTAATGAATGTCACAAGAGCTAATAATTCAAATTTGAATCCCTCAAGGTTATTTACCAGTACACATTTCTAAATCAGTTATTGTATTTCAAAAGAAAAGAAGAGCTTGAAATGAAGTCTTCCTCCACATATACCAGCTCCATCCTAACATCACTAAGGTGATGTCTGAAGGCCAAGAAGTGGTTTAAATTTTTAACAGTATTCTCTTATCTTAGACAAGTATCTCAGTTTAGAAATTACTTTACACATAGCCATTACACTATAGGGACAATTGTTCTACTAGGAATAAAGCTAATATACCAATGGGCACGAGGCAAAATTAAACAGAATGAGTAAACAATATAAGGAATTTATATATAAATTAAAAAGTCTAAGATTAACTTTATCATCTACATCTTCTATAATATGATTATGATATTTGTTATCAGGTACATTATCTAATACCTAAGTAGAAATTTTTTGAAAGGAGAAAGAATTTGCGCATTTAAAACACTTTTGATTAAAATTTGTTTGCAGAATTTCCAGAAATTAGAAAACATGGTTTCAAGTCATCATTTTTCTAAAGCCGAGTTTCTTTGCCTGGCCAGTAGTTGGGTTGTAGCAAATGATCACTTGTAGTACAATTTTCCTTCCTGATTCTTGGAGACACCATTGTTCCTTCTCTCTTGGTTCTGAAGCTTCTTTGTTTTGAAACATAATTTTTCTTTAAAATGAAAAGTACTGCAATGCTTAGGAAAATGGACATTGTGCCCAGCATCATAGTTAGTCCCAGATATATGTGTCTAGAAGAAGAGAGAATACATCTTAATTATTGTAACTACCCAACTTTACATAAAATGTGAAAGGAAGGTAATAATATCTTTCAATCAATATCAATATCAATTAAATCAATCAATATCAATAAAACCATTATGAGGAGAGTTTTCTTTAAGAATGCAGATTCAGTGGCTATAAAAGGCCTTTCTATAAACATTTGACAGACTATTGGAGGCAGTGTGCTAACATAAAACAATTTTTTAGTAGTACCATCATTTTCAGTTGCAACTAATTATGTACTCAGTTCCATCCTCTGTAAATTACTTCCTTAGACCATGTGACCATACCCTGTTTGCCCAGAACAGTTCCAGCTTATGCTAGTGTTGTCCCAGTGTTAATAGGGCCCTCTTTCACTCTCAAAAGTGTCCGGGTTTGAATGATAAGTTACATGGTTACCTTACCCTCAAACTTTGCTCCAATTCACTTCTACAGAAAAACTGCAAGAAGCAGTGTTAAGGGGGAATCAGAGCTCTCAGAGTAGAATGACTTAAGACTAAACCAGAGGTTTAAATCAGTTTCTTCCATGAGAAGCCTTTAGCTCTACATTCTATAACAAGACACGAAGGTATGGAAGGACAGGTTGAATGATTCACGCTGGTCACCTTGTGCACACACTGCCAGTCTCTGATTGAGCTACTTTGTCTTTACATTACAGTGAATACAGCCTTAGCAAATGTGAGTAAAGTGCAAATTCTACTCACAGATCGGGTCCCATTGAAAGACCGAAATAAAATTTCTCACATAACATCAAAGCCTATTAAATCAAACTTATTTGAGATGGTCAGCTCAATTCACATCCAACTTCCAACTTACACGGTTCAGCACCAAGTTTATTTCTCCAGAAAACGCTCAGATTGTAAATCCAAAAAATCCTTCTTGCTTTTAAGCCATTGAAGCATTGCTTTAAGCAATAAGGGGACTCAGTGTGGCATGAATTGAACTGAATGATACCATAGTGAAGAAGTCATGCCCCTCAGACGCATACACACTCACAGACACAGAGAAAACCTTTTGCTTTTATGCATTTCAAGTACTGGAATAATTGAACATCAGTTTGGCAATACAAGCTGGACAGATTTAGAGCCAAATCCAACTCTTGCCCAGGGGGATTATATCTGACGTAAATGGGACAGTTTGGCTCAGTTTGAAAAAGAATGGAATTAAATCCAAAATGTGACCTAAATTTAAATGATTCTAAATTTCAGGGAAATACTTGTGTGCACAAACTTGCAAAGTTCTACTGTACTCTGAAATCTTGGGTCGTATTTTTTTTAAAAAATGATTACTCACTTAAAATGGGAGTCAAGATTAGGAATGGGGAAAAAAAAATGAAACATCTAGCCAAATAATCACAGAATAATACACTTATTCTATAAAACAGAACACACTTCTTGATTAGACTACCCTTTTCCTTAGAGGCAGGAAACTACATGAGGAATTATTAGCGTCAATTGCATTGTGCAGACCTGGGATGCTGGAGCAATGAGATGAGGGAATGGCTTTGATACAGTACCTAAAAGCATCTGAATCATATAATCTGCAGGATCCTCTACTTCCACACCTTTTAAATCCCCATTTGAGGCAAGAAGTGTCAATCAAGACTCCAAAATATACGGGAGCTGGGATTCCTGCTGTGAGAAAAACAGATAATTGCTACTGTATGTGCTAAATTATATATGCACTTATAGTAATTACAAATCGCTAAAAATGTATGCACGTCTTTTTGGTTATCCTATAATGAGTGATTATTTGGAACCACTTGCTTTCAGTGCAAAAGATTACTGCTTTGGCAATAGGAGAGCATCTGTAGGAGCCCAGAATATGCCACCTCAAAATATGCCTCTCGCATGAAGATTATTTTGAGAAACAGAAGACACAGGAGAAGCTCTGAAGACAGAGCATAAGTTTCCCATTTGTAAGGGAAATTTACATTTATAAAGGAAAGCTCCATTTGTAAGGGTGTCTCCCTGTCTGTACCAGGAAGAGAAGGATTCCGGATTCCACAAAGAACAAGCTGATTTCTATTTTGCATAAAATCCCTGAACGAGAAAAGCAATTAGATAAATATATCTAACAGTCAATTTGCATTATTTGGTGCCTTAAATAAAGTATACATAGATAGATACATATATTTTTCAACGAAATAATTTACCACTTAAAGACATTTAGGTGATAACTAACTTTATATTTCTCTTAATAGTGTGAAGACAGGTCAAAAAATCCAAATGTTTGACATTTTCTGTGTATGTTTTAAAATTTTCATAATGGCAAATTTCCAAATATTCACAAAATTAGAGAAGATGATATAATGAGCCCTCATGTACCATCACTAACTTCAACAATTATTAATGTTTTGCCATTCCGGTGTCATCTATCTCCAGCCCTTCCCCCACCCCAAAACTTTTTTTTTGAGGACTATTTTAAGAGGAACCACAGATATCATGCCATTTCCCTCATATGTATTTCAGTATACATCTCTAACTGATGACATTTTTAAAACATAACCACAATGCCACTCCACACTTAACACGTTTTATAATAATTCTTCAATCCTATCTAAAATCTCATCCACATTCAAACTTTTCTGAATATCTTCAAGGCATTGTTTTAGAGCTGGTTTATTCTAATCAGAATCAAAACCAGGTAAACGTACTACATTTAGCTGATGGTTCTTTATATCAGTTCTCTTCCCAACTTTTTTTTATATGAATTATTTTTGAGGAAAGACGTTTGTCCTGTAGAATGTGCCATAATCTGGATTTGACCGGTTGCTCCTTAACAACATTATTTAATTTATTCTCCTATTCACCACTTTTTCCAATAACCTGGCAGTTAGCTCTTGGATAGACTCAGGTTCAATTTCTTCTAGGCAGGAACACGGCACAGGTGTTCCGTGTGTCCCAGCAGGAGGTACAAGCTGTCTTCTTGCTTTTCTTAGTAATGTTAAATGGATCTGAGACTCAGGCTATGCCTTCCATTATGCAGTTTTCATCAACTTTCACCTATAGCTTTTAGCAAATGTTGGTGAGATTGCAAAACAGAGATTTTAAAAAATTATATTATGCCTTTCGTACAAATTACTTAGGATTTTTCTCTAAAGGAGAAGTTTCCTTCATGACTATTTAATTACTTTGAAATCTATTTAACATAGGAAAGGCACGATAAATGCTTGATTCTTCACTTATCAATTTTAAGTATAATGAATTGGTGTCCTAGTGTTCTCCAAAATTATTTAAGTATCAGGGGCCAGCCCTGTGGCTGAGCGGTTAAGTTTGCAGGCTCTGCTGCTGCTGCTGCAGCCCAGGGTTTTGCCGGTTCAAATCCTGGGTGTGGATGTGGCACCGCTCATCAGGCCACGCTGAGGTGGCGTCCCACATGCCACAACTAGAAGGACCCACAACTGAAAATACACAACTATGTACCAGGGGGCTTTGGGGAGAAAAAGTACAAATATAAAATCTTAAAAAAAAATTAGTTAAGTATCATTATGAATTCATGTCTTTTATATATTCAGTGTATTTCAATACACTGCAGCAATTATTTATTATTATTAAATTTTCAAATTATCTCACCTTAGGCCATGCTCCTCAAAATTAGTGCTGTGTCCTTTTGATATATCCTTATTTGCCTCTGATAGCTTTCCCACTTTCCAGCACAAACAGTTGTTCCATAATGATCTTATGCATTTTCTGCCTGAGACCTTGACTTGGTCATTTCTCCAAGACGCTATGATTCTTTTACTGAGAAGTGATACTTAGATGTCACAGACTGAGTGCTATGGGTGCTCATTTCTCCTGGGTTACACAGATTCTATATTTTTCAGGAGACAGAGCTATAAAATAGACAGTATTTTAAAGTAAAATTATATGAATTCATATTGACATTTTAAATTTAAATTAATGGGTTTTACTTAAGTTATTTTACACTTTTATCACTTCTCTATTATGCTGAATATATTGATTCCTAATGATATTAATATAATATCTTATTCACTTTACCTTAAAATATATAATAGTTTCAACATAAAAATGCCAAAGTTAATATTAATGATAAGACTATAAAACGTCACGAAGCTATGGGGATTTAGTAATAATTCTATCTTTTTAAGCCATTTAAAGTTTTTTTTGTGTGTGGTTATGCCACCAATATGGTATACAGCTAGTTTCAGTTTGTTTAAGAATCTCTTTTGTTCTTTTAATTTAATTGTTTTTTAATGACATAAAAACTTTGCACAATTTCAAATTAAAAATTATATAAGTTACATTTACAAAGTATCATTTCCATCCTGTCCTCTCTCCTCTCTTTCCTTTCTTCCCTAACATGTAAGCTTAACCTTTTTTTTTTTTACTAGTTTCTAGTTTATGCTTCCACTGTTTTTTCTTTTTTTAAATGAGAAAATACCTTTGTGTGTGTGTGTATAATATTTCTACTTTTCCATACTTACACCAAATGCATCACACTATAAATATGTTCTACATTTTGCTCCCTTTCACTTAATAGCATACCCTGGGGATCACTTGGTATTATAGACTGAATTATGTCCCTCCAAAATTCATATGTTGCAGTCCCAACCCCCAATGTGACTGCATGCAGAGACAGAGTAATTAAGGAGATTATTAAGGTTAAATGAGGTCATAAGGGTGGGGCCCCAATCCGATAGGACCGGTGTCCTTACAAGAAGACTAAGAGACTTCATAGATCTCTCTCTCTCTCTCGCTCACAGAGGAAAGGCCATGTGAAGGCACAGCAAGAAGGTGGCCATCCACAAACTAGAAAGAGAAGTCTCACCAGACACCAACCCTGTTGGCACATTGATCTTGGACTTCCTAGCCTTCAGAACTATGAGGAAATAGTTTTCCGGTTGTTTAAGCCCCCCAACCATGTTATTTTGTTATGGCAGCCAGAGCTAACTAATGCACTTGGTAACCTGAAAGAGACATTTTTCCCCATTTGTCCTTACAGCTGTATTTCATTGGTTTACTATAGTTTATTCAACCAGCTCATACTGATGGACGTTTAGACTGCTTGCAGTCTTTTGCTATTATAAACAACGGCACAATGATTAGACTTATTCATACGATGAGACTAATCCATAAGATTAGACTTGGTTTATACTTTCACTAGCAAATTTTTGGCATGAGTTCTCAGAAGTGGGATTGCTAGGTCCAAAAATAAGTCTCTGTGTAATTTTGTCAGTTATTGCCACATAATCCTCCCCAGAAATGGTATCATTTTCTCAACAGCAATGTACAAGCACATCTATTTTCTCATACGCTGCAGACAACATTTGGTAATTTGTCCATCTGATATGTAAGTATCAATATCTCAGTGTAGTTATAATTTTTACTCTTATTATGAGAGTTTGACCATCATTTTATATATTAAGAGGCATTTACATTGTTTTCCACCAAATGGCTGTTCATATTTTCTGCTCATTTTTCTATTTGGTTGTTGGGCTTTTTGTGCTCAACACTTGGGAACCCTCTGTATACAGTAGGGATAGTAGCCACTTGTCTATTATAGAAATCGAAAAAACAATTGTTCCCAGTTTGTTATTTGCCTTTTGCCTTTGCTTATGATGTTTTTTGTCATTTTCAAGTATATTTTTATTTTCATGGAATCAATTTTATGAACCATTTCTTTTGCTTAAAATCTTTTTGACTCTGTAGGTTACGTCTATCTTCCCAAAGACAGGGAGAGAGAGAGACTAATTGTGGCCAGTGATGTATTTCAGGCTCAACAACCTAACATTTTTCTAGATCATCTCTGTTTTTATATCGTAGAATTAGAGCCAGCCACGATGACATAAACCTCCATTTTTGTTGTTTCCCCAATTTTATCAGGATTATATTGTATCTTCATATATATTGATTTTGTGTCAAGATCTATGTAAACTACCTTTATTTTCAGATTTTTCCAAGCTCTGAGTTTGTTTTTCTCCCAGATAGCTCTTTTCTGTCAAATTACAGAGGAACATTTACGATTGTTTTACTTTCTTTCTTAGAATATATTCTTTAAGGACAGAAACCTCATCTGAGTCACTCTGTTTTCTATGAGCTTTAACTAACGCAAATTGAAAAACGTGGTAGTCAGAAAAAACATTCCAATTACGTTTAAAAAATAATGATCTCAAATGCATACTGCTTCGATTGTGTGAATGATCTGATCTTTCTACCAAATGACATATCCTAGCATTGAGAGTAGCTTAAAAGAGTCCCTTCCATTTTAATAACTGAAAACATTATATTTAGGCTTCAGCCTTTCTTACTGACTCATTTTTGTTTTCCTCTCAGAAGGCTCTCCCATAATAGCAATGGACTTTTTGACAATAGACCAGTGCTGGAAGAGACAAGATTGTTAAAGAAAAAATGTCATTACTCTCACAAAACCACTTTATTATTCCTCAGGCACAGCATTGGCTCTCAATAAATATTTCTGGAACAAAGGAAGGGAGAAGTCAAAGAAAGGAGAGAAGGAAGGAAGAAA